TGTTGAGGTTAATAATTGAAAAACCTTTCTAAAAAGTTGCCTTATAATAACCATCAATAATTAAAATACTTTCGGTAGTTCTAGGTTAAGGTTAAGAAATCATATTTTCTTATTTTGTTATTTTTTTCAATTGTGAATTGCAATTTTTGATCAAAATCGTTAAAAGCATTCAAAACATTTTCTGTGTTATCTTCAGAAACATAAGTATGTCATCAACATATTAAAAAATTGTAACAATTGGGAACTTTTTTATGCAGTTACTTTGTAATTCTGATATAACGATGCAAATAGAAAAAAGACGATTTCCCATTCGGGGACCATATTTTTTACTGTAACTGTTATCAAAAATGACTTGAAATATTTCCAGTAAATCCTCCATATTCAGTCTACATTTATCCTTTGTCAGTGACTCATGAATCTTTAACTAGTACCAAAACTGAATCCATAGGAACATTTTTAAATAAACAAACAACTTCCAAATAAACCAATATATAATATTTAGGTATCTTTATATTTTGTAACTGTTCAATAAGTTCAAATGAATCCTTATCATAAGAATCGTTTTCTCAGAACAAGTCTTAAGGAAGTACCATTCACACAACTGTTTAATGATTGCATTACTTTTATTCTGGATTTTGTTATATTTTTTTAATGTTACAAGCAAAAATAAATGATAATGTGCGTTCATTAGAATAATTTTAATAATACACACGCTAACATGTACACAAAGTCGTTCACTGAACTTTTTTAAACTCCTCTTGTTTCTTTTTTCCACGAACACATGTTGGAATCCTAAGACTTAATGAACCGAGCTTAAGAATGAGACATTAATCTGCCCTGAATGAAATGTCAACGGCTTGTTTCGTAAACTCCACACGTATATTTAGTCTTGAAAACCTTTTTGGCAGTTGCATTTATAGCACTTGTTGCAGATGCGTCCCGGCGTGGTGGCTTAAATTAGGACCATTTGGCACACTCAAAGCGATGATAAATTTTAATTTTACGATACCTACCGTAGTTAAAACTCGTGATAGTTCAATTTTATGCCATCTACTACGTATAATACGACGAAGTATTTTACAAACATATCAATAAAACTCATTTAAGTCTATTTTTATTACCGAAATCTAGACATTTTGAGGAAATTGCATAGTACGAAACATGCTTTTAAATTTTTGCATGGACTTTTAAGGTTTAATTTTGCATTACACTAAAAATAATTAAACTATCTTCAACGTTTATTATCTCTACACAGGAATTCGATGACCTCAGGCCACCAACGAAACTAAAAGTATTTTCGCCAAATACTTGCGTTTTTGACAATAAAATTGTTTAACGTCCAACAATGCCACATGCATCGTGATTGATTGAGACGTTTGACGATTACCATATATGAATAATCCATACGGCGCTTTACTTAAGTCTGTTTTTAACATGTAGCGGATGCCGCAAATTTCGATTTAATAGGAATACAGAGCTTAACAAGAAGTGTCTGCGTTCACTGAAAAAAATATGCAGTGTCCCAAGAGGCCCAGAACAGCAAAATTAATAATGAGTTTTGTTATTTTTTAACGTGTAAACAATGTTTACATTTACCCCCCCCCCCCCTACCTTCACAGTTCTCCCCATTTTTTTTATTGCACAGTATGGCTTGTGATACGTCATTAGAAAGATAATTTCATTTTCTTTATAGTAATATGGGTACACATGCCGCAAGTGACCCATTTTTAAGCATTACGTCAAGAGCGCCACCGGACGGACCAACCTTCCAGGAAGGGTCTACGGCGGGCTGGCGCCTGCGACCAGATCCGTATTCATATACCTACGACCGACTCCACACACAGGGACTCTCCAGCAAACAGTCCAACCGACAACATGCCTTTTTCTATACAACTTAGTTTTCAATAAAATATTTTATTATTACCGTTGAGAGAGCGTTTTATTTTTGCTGTACAGCGAAAGCAACCCTCAGTAATGTAAAGTTGTCTGGGAAATTTTAGAAAACAAAGGAGTTACAGCTATTTTTTAACTGAACCAACATTAAAACCCAATTCAAAGTGTTATTTAACTAAATAAAGTTTGTTGGGTAATAATCATGGAAATCATATTCGTCATTTTATAATAAAGTATCTTTGTCAAAAAAATATTCGATTAGTCAAATTTGTTCATTGAATGTAAAGATAAAATAATGGTTTTTGAAGATGAGAGGATATGGCGATCTCAAAACGTCATTCGATCAAGTAGTTCATTTATTTCAGTATACGTTTCCAAACAGAACGCCAGTATCAAAGTCAACTGTGTGCAGAACAATGCAAAGGTTTGAAGAAACTGGAACCGTGAAAGACAAGCCGATCAGGACGTCCAAAAACTGCAATTAATGACAATAACGCTGTTGAAGCATTGCAAAGTTTTGTGGAAGATTATCATACTTCTGTGCGTAAAGCTGCTAGAGAACATGATACCAATAGTAGGTCATCTATTTGTCGAATATTAAAAACAAACTCTTATAAACCTTACGAAATACATTTACAGCGAGAGTTAAGTGAAGATGATTATGATCGAAGGCTGGATTTCTGTGAAACAATAATGACAAAAGTTGACCAAGACCCTAACTTTATATTTAATATTTGATTTCCGACGAATGTACTTTTACTGTTAATGGTTTAGTCAATCGTCACAATTTGATGTACTGGAGTGTCAGAATCCCCATTGGATGAGAGAAGAACACACCCAGAGACCTCAAAAAATAAATACGTGGACTGGTATTATTGGTACTACCATTATTGGTCCGTTTGTAATTGATGGGAACATAAATGGCCAAAATTACGAACAAATATTACGCAATCAACTTGTACCTGCTATACAAAACTAATACATTAATTTTGACAGAATATGGTTCCAGCAGGACGGTACAACACCTCATTTTGCTATTGGAGTTCGGCAATTCCTGGATCAAATGTCTCCGGATAGATGGGTTCTGAGAAGGAAGGGGTGCTATCGAATGGCCAGCACGCTCTCCTGATATAACACCTCTATATTGTGCTTCTTCTGGGGGCATTTAAAAACTTATTTTTATAAAACAAAGTCATTAAATATAGACGACTTGAGGAACAGAATATTTGAGGAATAGCAACAAATTACTAGAGGAACTTTAACAAACGTGATGACGTCGTTTTACTATACAGCGCTATCCAAGAAGTTTGCACCATATGGGAAAAAACTTTATGTATAAATTTAATAAATTCCTTCGATTGTCAGTTGTCTCTGCATGTCGTCAAATCAAAATAGCGCCCATCGAACTTCATAAAACGTTTGTTATATGCGAGAGGCAGACGAAAACTGTAAAACGGCCTAAGACTAAAGTACCCTAGGGGAAAATGTCTACACGTCAAAAACTGACAAAAGTATATCTGAACTACCTAAAATTCACTATTACTCTTCGTATAAGATGGTTAGATTTACTTGTTACAAAGATTGTGTGCCCAATGTGCAAACAAGACAGAAAAAATAAATTACAACTTAATTTACACATTGCGTTTTAAATCGTTAATTTACTAAAAATCATGTTATTTGAAATATGTATACATAAGGTACCATATTAGAAGACTTTTTTTTCAATTACTATGTGTTAATTATTATTGTTCTTTTTTAATAAAACTGTTTGCAAAAATATATTGTGTTATTTGTTTATCAAAATAGACTCCATAATTATTCAACAAAACTATTAATATTTGAAAATTATCTATTTTTGTATTACAATATTTTTTCAAAATGGGTCCCATATTAGGCTACTTTCCCATATTATTCGAGATAGTATTTCTTTTTCCTCAAGTTTCCAGTCAAATTTGAAAACCTGCACTACTAATTCACAGTAATTGAACTGTAATAGTGAGTAATGCTCTTAAAATGTTCAATTAGAAGCTTCTAACTATTATTTCTATCAAGAAATCTCTGTGGAAAACTTTGTTCTGAAACAATACTACTCTGTTGGAAAATTTGCTCTTTTTAAAATAGTGTAACGACATGTGCTGAATCACAATTAAAAATGTCTATTTAGATGGTAGATTAGAATTTTGCGGAACAATCATAATTTCCCATCACAGTAAGTAATAATTAATTGTTTGTGACTAACAGTTCTGTTACACATATTTTATTTTCTTGATAAATTAATTAAAAAGTAATTAGCATTTTTGAGGCATGATCTGATTACTTGATGGGTTTAAGCAGTTATCAATGAATTGGGGCAAAGCCGTTGCACAATAAAAATTTCTCATTCATTCCTAGTAGATGGATTGATAGAATTGAAACAATAGAGTGACAAGCAGGGTATCAGAATTACCTGCCCACATTTATTTGGTTCATTTTGTATAGTTAAAACTAAATTTGTGGTTTTGAGAGATGAACATTTCGCGAACTGGAAATATTGTTAGACAATAATCTTTATTTATTAAAGCTATTTCAGGTTATTATTCTGTACTAGGAAAAGTATTAGTTTTACACTTGCCAAAAGTAACAATTTTTAGATTGCAAAATATTGTTACACTTAAAGACAGACTTCTTGCAAGTGGTATTTAATATTGTTACACATAATCAAAGACTTGAAATAATATAAATATAAACAGCCTGTACACAAGACACTTTATTTTACTGATTTCTAGTTTCTATTCGGAATTTCGATATTTCCTTCTTTAATATTATAATCTATGCGTATCATGTTTCTCGAAATTAATTCATTTTTAACGAACTTAGTAATAATTGAATCTGTACTAGTAATTTTAATTACTGTTATACTCAATACGTCAATTGCTTCAAGGTTAATCCATACCATTACAAATAATCGTTTGAAAAAGTTCCTCTATATAGCGTGGTCTCATATCCTCCATAAATTTTAAAATTTTGTCGGTCTCTTTAGCTTCTTCTACGAAAATTCATCAATTTATATTAATTATTAAGTATAAATGGTTTCTATGTCATAATAATAAATAGTTTAAGTGGTTTTATTTATTATGAAACAATATGTGAGATGTAACAACTTATAAACAAATTAAAACATCTTTTTATTTAAGTATTTTAAGAATATTTTCTTCTAGAGTTGATAGTTTTCTATTCTGTCCACTCGTTTAACCATATGAATTTTATCCAGTAGTATATACACCATTCCTTATAAAAAGACTGCGTGTTATTTGGCACTTGGTGTTGGCACAAACCCACATAAAAAGATTCCAATCTGAAGATCTACGTAGCCATTGCAATGCTCCGTTGTCTTCTGCAAAAGTTTGATCAAAACAGGGTTATCTAAAATAGAAATAGACAATAAGCAACATAACTGGCACTAATAATACTATTACTATTTTTAAAGCAATATACATGGTGTAACTTTGAGTGGGGTCATATTTATACGGAAGCTACCTTTGACGTTTACAAACACGTAGGTATCAATAGTTTATTTATTCAAATGGCGTGGTGAAAACTTCGCTTTGTTTTTAACCTTTTTTTAGTAATTTTTATACCACGCCCCTGAACAAACCAGTGTGACTTCAAACAAAGGCACAAAAAATTTCCACTTATAAATGTTTGTAGACTAAATAATTTTAAAAAATATTTCATATCTATCAGATTAAATTTTTTATAAATTTTTTACGGTATTTATTTTTTGTAAAACAGCAAAAATAAATATTTTATTTACAATTAGTAACGTACCTACGTACATATATTAGTTAATACTTAATAAATCATGTGAAAATTTTTAATTTTTCAAAACTTTTTTTTATGTTCGTCGCTTCCTTCACACTGACATTAGAAAGATATGGTGAGTTTAAAATAACACGTCCTTCTCATATGAGAAGAAGAAGTTTCAGATTCATATGACATTTGAACAGAGGGTGGCAGAAAAACAAACAGATAAAAACATTTAGTCATTCAGACAAGAAAATAGACAAAATTACCGACGGAAAGGCAGGTAGAAAGGCAGGATGTCAGGTAAATGGACAAAGAGAAAATACAGGCGGACGATAAATACAGACCAACAAGCAAACAAACAGGTGTGAGGGCATAAACAGACAAAAGTAGGCAGGTGAGCATTCGTAAAAATTTTTTCCAACTCTTTTCACCTCCTATTTTTACTTTAACCTTCAAACGACCTTAAACGTGAAGTGATAGAGGTCAACCGATATCGGATTCAAACTTACCGACACAATAAACCTACGTATGAATTTTTTCAGATTCTTTCAGCCACCTTTTCTGAGTTTGACCTTCAGATGACCTTGAACCTGACGTGATAAAGCTTAACCGACTTCGGCATCGGAACCAGCAACCGCGAAAACCCCTGGATACCTAGGTAGAGTTCGATGTTTTTTTCAAACTAAATGTTGACCTGTGTTATAATGCGCGTTTTTCAAATAGAAACATTGTTTTAAAATAATGCATTATTAGATACCTTTTACAGCTTGTTACAACTGCAATGTGTTATGTACCGTTGTCATTTCAAAAACTTAGGACACGCATCATGCGTGTAATAAAATTTAATCTAAAAAAATGTTTTGTTTTGAATCCTTGATTGCTACCCGGGAAATAAAATGATATTTAATTAACCATAATTATTTATTTTTGAACTTTAAACTTGTCGGTATGTGCAGTAGCTGACATGCATTCAAACAATGCTGTTCCACTGCATTGGTTCAGATATATAACATCGGAAACGCGGAAGTATTACGTTTTGGATCGCCATTGAATTACAACTAGTGTGACTGCTATTTACTTCCCATATGGTTTAGGTTGTTACTAAAAGGTTAATAAAACTATACCAAAATTTAATAACGCTGTTCTTGGAAACTATTGATGTGTAATAATACCTTTATATAGCCATGATCAATATAAAAATAATCTTGGAATAAGCCTTCTCATTTCGTATAAAACTGGCTATAATTACAAAGTTTTGTGACAAATCCGAAACTTTCATTTTTATTCCAGGACTTCTTAGAACAATGTGGTACCTAAGCCTAACAGTCAATTCAAAGGTAAACGTTAATGTAGCATAAAATTGAACGCTTTTAAGGGCGCCATATTCTTTAAATAGTGTTTTCCACAAAGACAAATAATTTCAAACATTTAATAACTGAATAATCTAAAGCTTAGGTTCTAATCTAAATAATAGTAATGTTATGTCATGCCATCTGGGAATTTTCAAAGACGCCGCAGTAAAACGAATAAACAGGTGCAAAGAACGATCAAACCATCAAGGTTTTAGGTACTGAAATCTACGAAAATACTAACTGTTTTATATATAACTCCACATGCAAGTATTCTTATAACATTTACTTGCTTAGTACTTATATAAAAGCTTAGTAGTTATATAAAATGGTTTACTTTTATTTATAAGTACGTGAAAATAATTCTTAAAATGTGGGGTTAGGATAACAGCAAACGCATGTTTTACAAACGCTTTGTTTTTAGCTATTATTTTATTTGAGTAAATTTAAACAAAACACCAAGGATTTTGTTTTTGTGCTTACTTTTGTTCTACATGTTTTACTTTTCAAGATTTCAGTACCTAAAAACGCCAGAAATTTGACTATTTCTCGGCCAGGGATATGGCCACCTTAACGTAGGTATATAAAATACAAGGTGTAAGGTTTAAGAATACTTTTTTCGAACAAATAAAGTCTGAAATGAGACTTTGTGCATAATATGTGAATAAAAACATATATGTTATTATTAGCTCTCGCATTCTTTTACTCTATTCAATTTTTTTTTAACTTCAAGTAGTGTTCTTTAATATCTGAAGGTATAATAGAGTCCTTTTTAATTCAGTTTAAAATTATTTTATTTTGTTTCTTACTAGTATTCGGCTATTATGCCAACATCAAGGAAGGAACTACAATACACAAAAAAAACAAACTTCGACATATAAACGAACAAAAGTAAAACAAAAATTTTTTCAAATTATCGTAAAAAATAAAGTTAAAACAACTGCATTCATACAATAAAAAATATTAATATAATCAGTGTTCCAAAATTCACGCAAGAAGTAATTTTAATAGAAAACATAGGTTTTAAAATAAAAATTGTAAATTTTTTATTGATTCATAAAGTAATACAGTATAGGGTTATGTATGGAATAGCACATCGGGTAAATGGCCTCCACCGCTTTGTTGAAATTTTCCATGACATTTTTGCATAAATACTGCTGAATTTCGTTAATACAGCGGTCAATTTCCTCCTTCAGGACGTGTGTAGTCGGGGGTTTGTTGGCATAAACCTTAAAATTTAAAAAAATCGAAGGAAAAAGTCCAACGGCATTAAATCGCATGATCTGGGCGGTCAATTCGGATCACCAAAACGGCAAATTACACGACCAGGAAATGAGTCATGCAGCAATTGAACCGTTTCACGGGCTGTATGGCATGTTGCACCGTCGCACATGTCGCCTACATCCATATCTTGGAATTTAGGCACAAAAAACTGGATTATCATGTTGCGATAGCGAGCACCATTAAATATCATTGTCTAACCAGCCGCATTTTTTAAGAAGATTGGTCCGATGATGCCTCCAGCCCAAAATCCACACCAGACACGTTGTTGATGTATTTGTTTCTCAACAACCACTTGTGGATTTTTTGAACCCCAGATGCGACAATTTTCGATTAGCGAAGCCACAAAGATGAAAATGAGCCCCATCACTGATTTTGTTGGGAAAATCAGCATCCACTTGTTCCATAATCCATCCAACGAACGTTCGCTCTGCGTCGTCAGTAGGCTTCAGTTCTCGAGACAACTGAACTTTGTAAGCGTGCATGAACATGCAAATCTTTCGTGAGAATACGCTGAAGAAAGAGCTTCTCGAAACGCCCAATTCTTGACCACGGTGCCGATTTGATATTCCTGAACTCTCAGCAACACTCTCACGAACTTCTTCGATGTGTTGTGTTGAACGACAGCCAGAGTGTTTAAGATCACTAATTAATCCAGTCTCCCTGAATTTTTCAATTCACTCTTGATGAAGTTAAATCACTACTCCGACCATATTTTGTACGAAAATTACGAACTATAACTGACAAATCTATGTCTTCTGTGTGGGGTTAGACATCTGCTACATCCTAGATATAATGTGTGTGACAGTTTGTTTGTCGTTCTTGTAACGCAAATTTCATTTTGAAAGAAAATAATCATGATCTCTTGACTTTTTACACAGTTTTTACCAACCTAGTAGAAATGTAAAGATGATACATGTATTTAGAACTGTTACATTAAAAACGAGAACTTCAAGGGCAGATGATATAATGGGAAAAATTTATTACATTGATACAAGAAAAAGGTTCTTCCATTTTTAACACTTTGTACTGTTACACCCCGTATATCTTGGGATTAAAACCAATCCAAAACAATTTACTAGATACCTAAAGATTATTTAATAGCATAAAAAACTTCTAAAGGAGAAAGAAATTTGTAAATAGTAAAATTCATTGAAAAAACTAAAAATATTTTATTAAAAAGATTTATGAACATATGAATGTGAAAAATGGCAGAAGAAGACTACTGAAAGTGGTAAAATATGGATGAAACATATTTTAATCTACACCAACACATCGCCAAAAAATTTGGGAATAGATGCTTAATGAAAAATTGAGTCAATATCGTAAAAATAATTTTTGTAAAATTCTTATAGCTTCCGAGAAAAGAATTATTGAAGTTTAGTATTTTCAACCTCTACATCGCTAGGTGACTGTAGTTTCTAGCGTCAGTGGCCCACATGACCCCAGTCGATTCCAATTATTGAAATCCGATAGTTTTCTCGTTATTGGGAGAGTGTTTACGTTAATTTTTCAAGTGTCAAAAATGGCTTACTTGTATAGCAACACGGAGTTGATGGATATCGTTTTAATTTATGATGAAGCAAGACAACACTTCTGTTATGGTGAGGCATTTGTGTTATGGCAAAGCAAGATAACATTTGTATTAGTTCGTACAAACTGGGTAATTCGGACCCAAATGTGTTTACACGTCAGTGGACAAAATTTTGAACAGTTGTTGTAACATCAGGTATGTCAAATTATTCTATTACCTTCCCCCTTATTCTTGGGGAAGAAATTCTTTCAATTTTTGGTCCGTTCATTTTTTATTGCACATTGTCGCCGTGCCGGTCGCCTACTGCAGGCTCTGCCTTAGGCAAGGTCAGGTTTTACAGGGAACCAGTGCCGTACAGAAGTGTATTTTCAAATCATTTTCGAATTGCCTTTTGTTTTTTTTTTACAAAATTGTATTTGTAAAAGTCTCCTGTACATTCAAAAATTTTTTTG